GTAAACCCAGCCCTGACCTTTCCAAACTTGTTTCCTTGAACTTTCCAAAGTAACAGTGGTGGCTCCCCTAGATCAGGCTGTATGTAATTATGATCACCCCATAGCGATGGCCGTGAAAATTTACATAGACCAAGTGGAAAAAACAGCCTTACTTCACTTGATAAGTCTCTTAAAAGTAACGTACTTTTCAAAGATTTACTATGGTTATCCCCAACTGTATCAGCAATGCTGCTACTTAGATTCATTGCTGTATCCACCTTCATCTCGGCACATGTTCTCCCTCTTTTTGAAAGTCTAATCTCTGCAGTTTCTTCCTGGCGGCAATTCCCAATCGCTTTCTCGGCTTGTGTTGCTTCTCTGAATCTGAATGGAAAGGCATCACTAAAGCCTTGCCATGATGCTTTGCTATCAATAGTAACTATTTTGTTACTGATTTCTATTTCCATTCTGTAGAGTTCACATTTCCAGATCATTTGAAGGCTAAATGCAGTTTCGCTTCCCCAGTTAAAGTATCTGCCTCCAGCCACAAGTGACTTGGTGAATTCCTGTCCTAGTGAAAATCATTTTGGGAGAACTTCAAAGGCAAGGCCCCCCCTTACTCTCCCCACAAACAACAAACCAACCCACTCTCAACATAAACAACAGGCAACTCATACTCAGGTACACTGTAAGCAAACTCTTTAGTGATAGTTATTTTAATAATGGAAATAAATTAGCTAAAAAGGGCTCATTATTAAAAACATAAAACTTTTGCCATTCATTTACAAAACAGAGCTTCCTAATAGCAAACTGCAAATGTGCAAAATAGACTTTCCAAGATCTGTCTGTTAATCTAACTGTAAGGCTAATGATTGATACAATTCCAGGGGGAAAAAAAAAAGTTCGAAATTTCCTGAAACTTGATAAAAAGACTTAAGATGTGCTCAGCAGCACATTGAAGATGCAGAACAGCATCACGCTTCAGTCAACTATAAAGGCTAAATTACTTAGCATCTTCCTGATACTTACTTTTAATGAAGCCCCAGAAAATTTTTGATTTTAGCTGTGTTAATAGCTTTTATAAAACAGTATCTAGGAGCAATCATAATTCAAAGTATTTTCCCTATATTATTTTTAGCTAGGTGGCAGTTCAAAAACAAACAAAAACAAACAAAAAACATGAAATGCAAAGTCATCAGAATTATCCCAAACAAGTTAATGCTAGCTGAAGGTCTGATTTATAACTCTCAAAGTGTTCAGAAAACTAGCCTCATCTACATTATTTTGCTCATGCTCCTCTGCTCAACTGACAAGGCTTGGTTGGTTTGTTTACAAAATGACCAGGGATATTTGTCACTTACCAAAGGAAATGCCAAATCTGTATGCCAACCAGTATCATCTTTATTGGAAGTGTAAATCTTCAAAAAATATTGCATATTAGAACTTTCAAATTATTCACAAGATTCAAAAGTTTTGTGACTTTCTAGGGTATTCCTAGTTATAACAGAAAGCTTGACCCAAAAATACACAAAGATGATTTGGTTTCTTTGGTCTTAATGTTCACCGATTTCCTGGTGATTTGCATCTAATATCACCTAAACACTTGTCCCCTTCTTCCCACCCTATCACTCACTATGCTACATGAGCAGCTAGCCAACATGTTTTTATTGCATTTCTTCACTTGGGGCAATACTTATATTCTCTCCTCTACTCAACCTGCAGTTCTCAAAGCCCCAGAACTCAAAACTCCGTTTTCTTTATGTCCTCTGACATAGAGGACATCAACATCTAGAATCAACAGGTTCAATAGCCTTTAATCAAAAAGTTAGAGAGACTGAAAAATGAATAGACTGACAGCAGGATCACAACCATCTCAAAATGTTGCCCAAAACTACTTCCTTTATTTGCAAGGCTGCCTTGCCTTCTTAGATCCAAAACACTCATCACGTTCCTAGCAACATCTAGAATCAACAGGTTCAATAGCCTTTAATCAAAAAGTTAGAGAGACTGAAAAATGAATAGACTGACAGCAGGATCACAACCATCTCAAAATGTTGCCCAAAACTACTTCCTTTATTTGCAAGGCTGCCTTGCCTTCTTAGATCCAAAACACTCATCACGTTCCTAGTTTTAAAAATGTGTACTGCCTACAGTAGTAAAGACTTGAACTTCACAATGCTCTAGAACAGGGGTCCTCAAACTACAGCCCGCGGGCCGGATACGGCCCCCCAGGATCCTCAATCCGTTCCGCCGGTGCTTACAGAACCGCCCCCCATCCCCCACCCCCGCCGGAGGTTGTGGGGGAGAAACCAAGCAGCCGCAGATGACTTCCTGCCACTTAATCCGCGCGCCGACCTCCGCAGCCCCCAAGCACCCGCCAGGACTGGGCTGAAACCAGCGCCTCGTCCTCGACCTGCCCCCCTCAGGGGGCGCCTCTCAGCTACAAACCGCGCCGCCGCCGGCCCGTCCTCCTCCTCCTGTGCGATGCGCGGCAGGCGAGAGGCGCGGGCCTCTCCTCTGCCGGGCAAGCTCAGTC